GTTAAGTTGCAACATTATGAGAGCTTTATCATGCCACTGGAGATCTGAAGTAACCATCTCCTATAATGGGCAAAAAATTATCCTCACTCACTTCAATTATGAATGAGATGTGGAAATGGACTATCGCTAGGGAACAGCAGCCTGCCTCTCACTAGCACAGCTGCCTTGAAATGCAATGGGATGAGGTCATCCTCGCAGCCTCCAAGCAAGCCGGTCAGTAATCATTGAAGCCTGTCACCTCACCTGGCAACCTCAAAATTTAAACAATCCTAGCCTTGTAGCATATATAATTGTCACCTGCTTTCTGCTCACAACTGCAGGGGATGTTGTCAGGATGTGGTTACAAAGATACTGGGATAAATTCCCTTTATGACTGTTAAGGATATTACAGAGAAAGTTTTTAAATAAATCATCCATATGTCATATATATGAATTGCATGCACTACACATTTTAGAACTAAAGAATGATTCTGTGATTCCACTGATTGACTCTCCAGGCATCTTCTTAGATTTCCAAGTTATCTTTTAATTGATTTCTTACAAAGTGTCCTTTCTTTCTGTTCTTTGTCACCAGTAATTCAAGATATCCTAGAATCTCGCTGTGATTCCTGACAAAGAAAGGCAGGAGACACAAATGTATCTGCAATTATACTCAGAACTGTGGTAGCAGAACTAAAATCTCATGAGAGAGGTGTGCTTGAGAAATTTCAGATCCACTGTTTGAGGAAAGGCAAAACAAAACAAAACCCAAGTTCACTTTCTTTTACTTTAAGACTATACGCCAAAATTGCCTACCAAGGATGTTTATGGAGAGGATAAAAAGTAGATTGGAGAGCAGTCCAGTGAAAACACTAAAGAATGGATTGTCTGCTCCTCTTCATGGGTATTTTTCATGGCTCACTCAGTTGGGGCCATAGTCAGTCACGTTGAAAGCAATGGGATGACTCTGTATGACAATGTCATTCCAAGACTGGAATTTAGGACACCTGGGTCTCCCTCCTGCTCTGACATCAGTTGGTTGGGTAACGTTAGACAGTTTGCTTAATCTCTGTCTCAAATTTGTAAAATAGAGATTGTATTGCTAGGGCTAGGGCTCACAGACCCCTCAAGCCCATTGTACAGACTGGGTCACA